GTGAAGACCAGCAAGTCTGCAACGGGGCATTCCGAGTTCCCAGGTAAAGGAGCCTTTTTTTGTCCCCCTGAACATCTCCCGCTGCGGTGTGCCCGGTGCTGCGGTTGTGCGGGCGGTGCAGCCGCCCCGTGAGCCACGCGCGTGGTTCAGTCACACAACCGCAGCTGCTCAGGGCTTTTGTGCATACTTTGCAGCCAGCAGTCGTAAAACGTCCTCAAACGACCCCGAGTACCTCTGTAAGTGGATGGGGCTGCCCTACGCAGAATGCAGCTGGGAAGACGAGGCTCTGATAAGCAAGAAATTCCAGCACTGCATTGACAGCTTCAACAATCGGAACAACTCCAAAACGATTCCAACTCGGGACTGCAAGGTTTGCTCGCTGCTCCGTTATTGCTGGGTAATGATGATACAGATGGGAGGAATGTGCACTTTGGTCAGGATGAATTTCAGAGAACATCTTTCTCATTCTTCATCACTGTTATTGTGCAGTGCTTGAGGTAGACGTGAACCCCTTTTGGTTTTATTACACTGTCTAGGATGAGAACATTATGTTCCTCTGGGGAGTTGGAGGCTTAATTAATCCCTCAGAGCTTTTCATGGTCCTCAGCAGGACGTACTGCAGAAGTGCAAATAAAGGTGCAATAAAAAGTGCAATAAAAAAACCACACACCTGGGAAAACAAGAAACCTTAAAAGATGCTGATACAGTGCAGGAAAGGGATGGAGAAAATAGAACAGCCTTTTATTTCTTTTCCTATCTGATGTGTGTTATTTGCAGCTTACTGCATTCCTGAGAGGACTTAGCCTTGATCATCAGAGCTGGGGACAAGCACACAAAATTTGTCTGGGATCTGCTATTGCCAATGAGGGTGGGCTGGAGCACTGCTGAGTGGTTGTCTAAGATGCAGACACAAGCAGTGACCATAAAAAAAACATGGATGGGCATTAATCAATAAATAAATATGTATGTTGTTTTCACTGCTGAGTTTTCGACCTTACCATGTCTTTGTCTTCAGCGGGTTTAAGGAGTTATCTTTTTCAGGTATTGAAGCAGAGACCTAGATTTGTTGCCTTGAAGAAACAGCCTTCTTATATTGGTGGTGAGAACTTGGAGCTGCGAGATTACCAGCTGGAGGGCCTCAATTGGCTGGCTCACTCATGGTGCAAGTATGTGCACGTTTGCTATGTGATGCTCTCACCAACAGCCCAAACAGGCCACGTTTGTTCTGTCTCCTGGTTTTGTTAGAGTAAGGTCTGGCCCTCTTGTTCTCCAGTGAAGTCTGTACCTTGCCTGTTTCTGTAGCTTGAAGGTTTTTGAATGTTTTCAGGTGCAGGTGACTTGCAGACACAGCAAACGGGGACTGTCCAAAGCATAAACTTATGAAATCCTGTGTGAAAAGAAAAAGTATTTTCCCTATCGTGGCCTGATTGCATTTTGCAATGGGCTGTTGTGTTGGCGTAGGATGTATCAGCCCTGATCTTGCACTGACCTAACTGAACAAGAAGGCTTGTTTCTATTTCAACATGGTTACAAACTCCTTAAAATCTTTGAAAAATTTCCTTCTAAATTAGGCCAATGACTCCTCTCTCCCTTGGCCTTTGATTGCCAGTTCAGAGTGTTCATAGTCCTTTTCATGAGCTGTTAGGCCAGATACAGTCTGGATGTTTTGGATGTGGTTGTTTTATTTATATATTTATTGCATTATTCCCTTTATGTCTCTGTTGTTGGTTGTTTTTCATGGTGGTGCACAGTAAATCAGTAGTGGCACACACACAACCAGGGTTTATGGTTTTTGTCTTCCTTCTCAGAAACAACAGCGTGATCCTGGCTGATGAAATGGGCCTGGGGAAAACCATTCAGACAATATCCTTCCTGTCGTACCTCTTCCATCAGCATCAGCTCTACGGCCCTTTCCTGGTGGTGGTGCCCTTGTCGACTCTGACCTCGTGGCAGAGAGAGTTCGAAGTGTGGGCGCCAGAGATCAACGTTGTCGTTTACATCGGAGACCTCATGAGCAGGAACATGGTGAGTGATGGAGAAGTGAAGTGACAAGGGCTGGTAGAGCAGCTGGGTGCCAGGCAGGAGCTTCTGCGTAATAGGCTGTGTGTGTAACGTTCCATCTGCTAGAGAGGCCAGTGACAGCACTGTGGGCAGGCTGCACGGGAGAGTCTGGAAATCCATTTCTGCACTGGGCTCCCTATAGCTCTCTGGTCTTGCGTAGAGCCTCCAGCTGTGGGTTTACTGAAGTAATGGTAGTTAGCTAACTCTTTCTCTGGGATAATGTTGGTTGAAGTTAACGTATGTCTCGTCTCACAGATCCGTGAATATGAGTGGATCCACTCACAGTCTAAAAGGTTGAAATTCAATGCACTTATCACAACATATGAGATCCTCCTCAAGGATAAGGTGGGTAATGGTCAAGGATGTTTTATTTAGGCTTCCCTGGAAGTCTGTCTTGCAAAGGGCAGCCTCCAGCTGGGGACTGGTTCCAAAGGTGTTCTTGCTGAAAAGCCATTCACATATGCCAGGAGCATTATACAGCATGGCTAATTTTCACCTTTCCTTCAGTAGGAGACAAAGTTGATATGGGCATCCTGATCCCCAAAATTTGTCAGTAAGAAACTCTTACACCAGCTCCTTCACTGGTGGATCCAGGACATCCTGGAGTTTGCACCTTGCCATGTTTTCTGGGCACAGAGAGTATATGCAATGCAGTGAGACTCGTCTGACCCGGCGTCTCTTTAGGACCTGTTTTGTTTCTTCTTTTTCCTCCAGGCTGTTTTGGGAAGCATTAACTGGGCCTTTCTAGGTGTGGATGAAGCCCACAGGTTGAAAAATGATGATTCTTTGCTGTACAAAACTTTGATTGATTTCAAGTCCAACCACAGGCTACTGATCACGGGCACTCCACTTCAAAATTCCCTCAAGGAGCTTTGGTCTCTGCTGCACTTCATCATGCCAGAGAAGTAAGTATCCTTTTGGGACCTTCAGAAGATATCTGTGTGTTCATTCTTGATCATCAAATAGACCTGAGGATGTTCAGAAGGGCAGAAATCCCTGAGTTAAATTCCTAAGCTAAACTCTTGGAGTTAGAGCACTGTAAAGAGGGAATACACAGCAGTGAGGAAAACAGAGGTTAAATGTGTGGTACAAGGCTATTTCTGGCAGCAAATTGAATGGGGAGACCTAATACATGACTTTCAAATTGGTCTGCTGTCTTAGTTGATTGTTTAAAATAAAAATCTAAGCTTTTATTTTAAGCAATCAACTCAACCAATTCTGAGGTTCCCAGTACAGTGCTTGCTCAACATCCACACTGACCGTTTTATGGCAGCCTCTACGAGTATTGCTCAAATATAGGGCTGTCTAGCTGATTGCGTGTCGACAATAAGACAAACGTTTTGTTTTCTTTAAAACAAAATGGACTATATATCCATCGCTAAGGCTAAGATTAGCATGATGCAAGACTCACCAGAATGATGTTCAACTCCAGCCTCCTCCCAGTCTTTTTTGTTAGATCATGAAAAGAAGGAAGGAAAGTTTGAGCGTCTACTGAGTAGAGAAGAAAAACAGATTTTCACATTTCAGTGGGACAGTTTGAAAAAAAACAGCAGTTCCAAAACGAAGGAGCCTTCAGAACAGTGTAAAACGAAATCTAGTTGTCAGACCCTGCCTAGAGGAAGGTCTGTGGAAAATTCAGAAACTGTCAGCTGGAAACAGCAAAGCAAGGAGCTGCATGACTTGTGAGTTTCAGTTTTAGGACTCAGTGTGGAGCAGCAGAGTTCAAAGATAAGATACTAGGAAGGTGCCTGAACCCAGAGAGTTTCTGCTTTGCCTTGAGTGCTTGATTAGCCAGAGTAGAGGGAACCTTCTATTCCTTGAGTTCCCATAAATTGATGATCTCTTTCTTTGCTGTGCTATGAGCTGATCTGTCAGGTCCTGATACTCTAATCTCTCTCTGCAACTCGTTTCTGTTTCTAGGTTTGAGTTCTGGGAGGATTTTGAAGAGGATCACGGGAAAGGCAGAGAGAATGGTTACCAGAGCCTTCACAAAGTCCTGGAGCCATTTCTCCTACGCAGAGTCAAGAAGGATGTGGAGAAATCTCTGCCAGCCAAAGTGGAGCAGATCCTCCGTGTGGAAATGTCTGCCTTGCAGAAGCAGTATTACAAGTGAGTTGTTTATTAAGATGATGGCAGTGCCAGTAGAAATGGGCACATCTTTCTGTATGCCTTGGGAATATGGTTTAGTATCCTGTGTCCTTCCAAGCGCGATGTGACAGCAGTCACCTGTAATATAAGGGGCTCTGCAGTAGGAATTTAAGGTTTTATGTCATCTTTCCCATCTCCAGGCCACTAGTCTTGTTTTTAAGGAGTAATATAATTTAGCTGGACCCAGGCTGTGTCTTTCTTGGAGGAGTAAAGTTCCCCACAAAATAGTGGTGCCGATGAATGTTAAAAAGTTAAAATATTGAAAGGAAAAGTAAGATCAGGGTTTCTTCTAGTGAGGAGGATAAAGCAGTATCATATAGAAGAAATGAAGGGAGGTAGAAGTGGTGGGGTAGGGATTGATGCCTGAACAAGATGTTCCTGGAGGTTTTTCCTCTCAGGCTCCAGCATGTTCTCTCTGCACTGTGAAATGATTTGAACTTTTTATTTTTCCTGTCTACAGGTGGATTTTGACAAGAAACTACAAGGCGCTTTCAAAGGGAACAAGGGGCAGCACATCTGGTTTCCTTAACATCGTGATGGAGTTGAAAAAGTGCTGCAACCACTGCTACCTTATCAAACCTCCTGAGGAAAATGAGAGAGAAAATGGCCTTGAGACCCTGCAGGTGGGCAGTGGTGTCGATTGCCACATTTTCCTTAATTTTGCCCTTCCTCCTGTTCTCCTACCCAAATAAGATCTGGCAAAGCTTTGCTGCTGCTGCGTCTGTCCAGTGGAAGCTGTCCTCACATCTGAGCCACTGGATCTCCTGCCCTCCCTTTCCCCTACAGGCAGCACATTGAGGTCATCTAGAGTAGGAGGTGCATGCAGAGTAAGAGCTATCTTGGATGGTTTATTTTACGCGTGGCTTCTACTGTGTAAATCCAGGTGATTTGAGTAGAGAGGTATGGGAGAAGCCTGATCTGAAAAAAACAAGACCTCTGTGAGGTTTCTGTGCAGCGTTTGTACGGGTGAGGCTGGAAAGCATCAGCTGGAATGACTGTTACTTCTTCAGTCTCTGATCAGGAGCAGTGGAAAGCTAATTCTCTTGGACAAACTGCTGACCAGGCTGCGTGAGAGGGGCAACAGAGTGCTGATCTTCTCCCAGATGGTGAGGATGCTGGACATCTTGGCAGAATACCTGACTATCAAACACTACCCTTTTCAGGTGAGAAATGTCAGTGGGGAAAACTGTGTGGTTGACTTGTGATAGGGACCTGTTGCTTGGTTTCCCAGAGGCTGATGGCTGATTGACTTGTGATAGGGACCTGGGTGATGGGAGTTGCTTGGTTTCCCAGAGGCTGATGGCTGGGATTGCAGGTGACACTTACTGAAACACACTGGTGGGAGCTGGCAGCTTCCTTCATTTCGGTCTGGCGCTCAAGAAAGGGAAACGTATGAGAGGCAGAAACCAGATGAGAACGTGGAGCCTCCAGGGCAAGACACTTCTGTCTTTGCAGATGTTTTTCCTTCTTCAGAGTAGGAATAATATGTCCTTTGAGTCTGTTATGACAACTTGAATACTGCTGTTGATAAAGTGAGAATCTATAGAAGGAGAATGCAGTGGGGTTGAATGTTGATTGATGGGTATTAATTACTAAACCACCTCTTGGTTTGGATCCTGCCTGCTAGAAACTCCTTGTACCCATGAGCAATGTAGCTGAGAACTAATGCACACGTGCTGAAAGCCTTCAAGTGCAAACGTCTCTGCCTCTAAGAGCAGGCTGGCTTGTGCAGGGAGCTCTCAGCACTGGAACTGGCTTCCTCTGTTGGCTTCCCTCTTCAGGGCACGCTGATACCCACATCCCCTCTGGTTAGAGGCCAGTGGGTGCTGTGCATCTTATTTTCATCCATCTTATGCTGCCTCAACAACTTTCTTGCTGTTTTTTCACTTGATGCTGGCACCTGAGGGTTGCTGTGAGGGGTGCATTTTCAGTAAACATGAGGTCAGTCAGTAAAGCGCTGTCTCTGCTAAACTGTTCCTGCAGCAGACCCCTGCTTTGGCCTCGGCCTGTTGATAAACCCAGAGGAGAGGACAGCAAATACAGAGATGCTGGCTGGGAGCCTGTAATGAGAGCTGCAGTGTCACCACTGTGTGACTGTCGCCTGAACATACCTCCCCTCCTGCCCTCGCGACGCAGCAAGCTGAAGCAGCACAGTTATTTTTAATTGGCAGTTATTTTTAATGATTAAACACTCCAGGCTACAGGCAGGGCAGGAGGCTGTAGGGCTCCCAGAAGTTGGGTGCAGCAGTTGCTCAGGGCTCCTTCGCCTTCTCTCTTTCATCATTGCTGTCGGTTTTTTGCAGCGCTTGGACGGCTCGATCAAAGGGGAGATCCGGAAGCAGGCGCTGGACCACTTCAACGCCGACGGCTCCGAGGTAGAGCAGCCGGGGCGCTCCTGCCCCCGCGGGGTCCGGGGGGATGCCCGAGCAGCGGGCGTTGATGGCTGAGCTGCGGGCTCTGACTGCCAGGAGGGGATTAGTTCAGTCTGTTTCTTTTTACAGGACCCTAGATGCTTTTAAAGACACAAATGTAGCAGGTTTTGCAAATATTCATATTGCTTACTTAAAATTTCCCCCATCCAAAGGTCAGGGCTGAAAGTCATATCTCCAGAAAGCTCCAGAGAGCCTGGGAAGAGTCAGAATTTAGCCATTTTCCCCGCTTAACCCGAGGAATGAGACAGTTGTTTAATAACTCCTCCAGCCGGAGGCTGTTTTGGGATCTGAGATGGCAGAGGCAAAAGGGAAATTTTAAGTGCAGGCACGCAGTGGAGTCCAGTGTTGAAAGGTCTAGAGGACGAACAGGAGAGGGCATCAAAAGCCTCTCATCCGACCTTGCTTGCTGACTCACAGTGACTGGTGCAGGGCACTTGTTTTACACCACAGCCAGGATAAATATCCATCCTCATTCCAGAAGTCTGGACTGGGGGATTTCTGGCTGGCACAGGAGACACAGGCAGGTGCTTCACGGTAGCTGGAAGGGTAACAAATAAAAGTGAAGATGAGACAGCAGTGCAGGTGGCAGAGAAAGGGGCAGGTATGCAGGACTGCCCATAGCAGTGGCCATTTCCTTCTACTGGAGACACGCACAAGGGCTCAGAAATCCCATCTCTCCCCTCCCATGGGCTGTTGCTCCCCCAGCCTATGTTGGAGCTGGTCTCACCTGCAGCAGGCATCAGACTGCAAGAGCAGCAGTGTTGGCCTCCCACCGTTGCAGGCGGTGGGCAGCGTTGTGTGACCTTCAGAAGCGACTCCAAGGTGCCCTAGTCCCGTTTGGGTTCCCCTGCCCACAGCCACATGTGCCACCTTTCACCGCCCTCACCAGCACCACCTCACCTCTTGCCTTGGCCTGAAGACCAGGAGTTGCAGGTCTGCCTAAATGAACAGCCTGTGGGAAGAAACCCATTTCTTTTTTCTGAGCTGTAAAGAAGCATACGTACAAAGTAGCTTCCATCTATTTCTGTTTTCCTATGCACCTTTGAGTCCACTGCTATTTTATGTCCGTATTGTAAAGCTGGCTATCCTCTGTTTTTTTCTACAGGACTTCTGTTTCTTGCTGTCGACGCGAGCTGGAGGGCTAGGTATTAATTTGGCCTCTGCTGATACTGTTGTTATCTTTGACTCGGACTGGAATCCCCAAAATGACCTTCAGGCTCAGGCCCGGGCTCACCGAATTGGACAAAAGAAGCAGGTGAGAAAGTGTTACCTGTTTTTTTCCTTTCTCTCTTCAGCACATACATTTAGCCGATGTGAAGGCTGCCACATCACCAGAGCTTCTGAAAACATGGTTGTTTTACCTCCAGTCTTGACTCCAGAGATTAACCTCTACTCAAGGGAAACTCTTTTAAAAGCCAAGAGGCAAAAAACGAGCCCAAAATTGCCAGATGCCAGGTCTTTTTGTTGGCTTTTGGTCCTGGGTTGGTTCCAAACCAAGAAGCCAGCCAGAGGAATCGTAGTTCTTTCTTGCCTTGAAGGGGAGGAAAAAAAAAAAAAAGAAGTAGAACACCCATCTTTAGTAGGAATTCAGGATTTTATTATATCAGTGAAAAGTCTGGTGCTAGTTTGAAGTCATTATTTCAGAAGATTTTAACACTATCCTTACACATAAAACTTCACTGCTAACCAGTTTGTATTTTATTGGTCTCACTGATACATAAAGAATGTGCTCTTTATTCTAAAAAAAATACACATGCATTCTAAAAGGATGCACATCTGTGCATGAAGAGACCACATAAGGAGACTAGTCTCCTGGAAAACAACTTGGTGACCCATCATTGTATCAGCAGAACATGTTCAGGTCCAGGAAGTAGCTCTGTTCTGTTCTTGTCCCTCAGGTGAATATTTACCGGCTAGTCACAAAGGGAACGGTGGAGGAGGAGATCATCGAGAGGGCCAAGAAGAAGATGGTCCTGGATCATTTGGTAATCCAGCGCATGGACACCACTGGCCGGACTGTTCTGGACAACAACTCTGGGCGATCCAAGTAAGTGACTGTAGCAGAAGTGCCAGATACAGCGTGGCAAGGCCAGCATCATCCCTCTGGTATTTCCCAGTATTTATGCAGTTGTTGGAGAACAGCGTCAAAGCCTAAAAAATAATGTGAGCTTCCACTAATTTGGTTCATGCAACCGTTAGACACACAGACTAATGTTAGATAGCAAATGAGAACTAATTCTGGTGTAGTATCTGTTTTCACTCTCTTTTCTGACACAGATCATTCTGGTGTGAGGGAACCTGTCAGTGATATTACTGAATAGCTACAGTTTCGCAGTGACCTCATACTCTTCCTATTTCCTTTCAAAACGTAGATGATGATGCTTTACAGTAGCTGTCCGTGCTCGGGGAAGAAAGAGATGAGGGGCTGAGTGTAAATTCCTTTTTAGTGCTAGTTAAAAGAATCTTACTTCCTGTTTTAGTTAGGAAAAAAAGTAGTTCTCTGCTGTAGCAGAGCTGGCTTAGTACCTCCAAACGCATTTTCATGATCCTTTCTTTTTGCAGCTCAAATCCTTTCAACAAAGAGGAGCTGACAGCCATTTTGAAGTTTGGAGCTGAAGATCTATTCAAGGAACTTGAAGGGGAAGAGTCGGAGCCTCAGGTAGATTGCAATTTAAATAGCGTGGCTGCTCACAGTCCTCAGCAGGTCTGCACGGGGCACTGTCTGTGTTTGCTGCCTCTTTGTGCTTGCCCTGTGTGTGAGAGGGCAAGTCAGTGAACAGAACATGTGTGAGCCCAGAGAAACTGAAGGAAGAGAGTTGCAGGTTTGGGGGACCAGAGACTGAGAAGAGTCCTCTTGCTGCGGGTCAAATAGTAAATGCCACCAAGAGAGTCCCTTGAACGAACCTCTAGGATTCTTTAGCTAGCTAGAGCATGGCCAGTTGAAAGCTCTTCCCCCGCCTCCCCTGAGCACTGCTTCAGCATCCCTTTTTTGGTGGTTCTCTGAGATGCAGGAGTCAGCACACTTGAACAGGTCGCTGTTTCCTGCCTCAGTGCGGTGTTGCTTGACAGTTTGTTATTGAGTGCTTTGAATGAACTCTCTTAACAGCCCAAGTAGCAAGCTTCCCCTGAGGGGAGCAATCCACAGTTAATACCGTCTGGAAAATCTTCCTGCTGCTTAGCCTTGATGTTCCTTCTCTTCTAACCTGTCACCCTTATTTATACTGTTTTGTACCACTTGACATAGTTCATCCTGCCTTGGTGATGATACCCTGCAGATCTTTACACTCCTTTACTCAGCTTATATTGCTGTAAGGCACATTTAGCTCTTGCACCCCACGGGTCCTTTCTTGAAACCTATTTCTTCCCGCACTTGGCACCCTCCGACTTCATCCTTCTTTCTCTCCGCCTGGTAGGAGATGGACATTGATGAGATTCTGCGTCTGGCCGAAACACGAGAGAATGAAGTGTCCACCAGTGCCACTGATGAGCTCCTCTCGCAGTTCAAGGTACGGAGCCTTGGTCGCAGGGGCTTTGGGGGAGGTGGTGGTCCACAGCATTCCCCACGTCTTGTCACAGAGCCATAGTTGATGATGGACAGAGCAAATCGGGCCACATAAGAGGTGATCTGCACAAAGCAGTCTTTTGAGCAGTTATCTCTGGTAGATTTTCATTTGATTGTAAGTGGTCTTGAAAGCTGTGAATAAAATCCAGGCCTTACCAAATTTGGAAACAAAAACAGTAACTTAAGACTTAGCAGTACTTCTTAAACTGCACGTACTTCCTCAGGAGCTGTTAGCCCAAAGACATGGCAAGGAACCAGGAATGGATTGACACAGAGTTCAATTATAAAATAATTATGGAAATGTTGGCAAAATTCCTGTGGGGAAGAAGCTGAGGCTTAGCTGACAGCTCTGGGCTATTCCTGCCAGGGGAGAGAATTTCTAAGAGTGTTTTTTGCTTATAAAAGGTGGCCAACTTTGCAACCATGGAGGAGGAAGAGACAGAGCTGGATGAGAGGTCCCAGAAGGACTGGGATGATATAATTCCTGAGGAGCAGAGGAAGAAGGTGGAAGAGGAAGAAAGGCAGAAAGAACTGGAGGAGATCTACATGCTGCCTAGGATCCGAAGCTCGACTAAAAAGGTACTGCCTGTCTTGAGGCACTGAGAGGCAGGAGGCGAGAGCTGGCAAAGGCAGGACTCGAGGGAGGCGTTCTTGCCATCTGAGTGCTGCTTTCCCTCCTCCAAAATTAGTTCAGAAGAAAGCACAGAGGTAGCACGTTGGTCTCTTGCTGGCATCGTGTGTTGGCCCATGCTCTGTAATGCAGTGTAAGTGCACATGTTGGGTTTGGCACAGCTCCTCTTATGTTAACAGACAAAATAAAAAAGAACGTGTAGTGAGCACAGGGCAAAATGGCCAAGTATGTAATGCAGATCTTACTGCACTTCATGCTCTTATGGCTGTTTCTTTCCTTTCATTCTGTAGCTCCCTGGGCTGTTTTTGCCTAGACCTGTCTTTATCAGGCAAAAGAGAAAGGGTCTTCCCAAGTTCAATTCTGTAGTTATATCATCTGTATAAATCCAGCAGAAATCAGAATGTGCAAGGAAAACTGCTGAGATTTGGGACATTGAAGGGCAATTCTCTATGATAAGCTGAGGGAAATGTCAAAGCGAAAATTAGAGAAGGAGGATATTTTCATGTCTGATGATTCCAGATTCACTTCTGGTGGTACCTTTCTTTTCAAACCTGCCGGCTATCAAGGAATTTAAGCAAATGTGGAACAAATCCATGGAAAATCACTGTGTTTTTGTGTCTTATACCTTAGTAAAGCAAAACATGATTGTGAAATTGCTGGCTGGAAGGCTGTAAAGGGAGGGATTGGCCAACTACACAGGAGCCTGAGCTAGCTAGAAACTGCAGGAGTGCCCAGTCTCTCTGGGTGGGTGACATGGGTCTCTGCATCCTCAGGAAGAGGTGCCAAGGTGTTTTACAGACTCTCAGCAGCAAATAGTACCAGTACATGGGAGGGATGGCAAGTGTGGCAGATTGACCCCCCGTTACTTACTGCTTTCTTTCTGGTACGTGCAGGCTCAGACAAATGACAGCGAATCAGATGCAGAAACTAAGAGAAGGCTGCAGAGATCGTCTGGATCAGAAAGTGAGACGGACGATACCGATGACGAGAAGAGGCCGAAGCGCAGAGGGCGCCCACGGAGTGTTAGGAAGGATACGGTGGAAGGATTTACTGATGCCGAAATCCGGAGGTGAGTGCCAAGCGCAGGAGGCTGATCAGAACACAAACATAGAAATCCCATGCAGATGGAGAAAACCCCAAATTAATCTAGGAGATACTCAGTGATAAGCACATCAGTGGTTTCAGTGAAGCTGGTTCATCGGGGCAGGTTTTCATGTTCAGTGTTGGGTGCCTGGGGCAATTTTCTCCCAAAGCATCTTTTTCTTGGTGAATTGTTCAGTGAGACTGATTCCTTCCTAAAATGAATCTTTGCTGTAAGTACCCTTACTGGGATGAGTCCGTTGAGCCAATTCCATGTTACAAATGAGGTAGCTGAGCTGCCATGGGATGCAGAGCTGGAGAAGCTGAGGAGTTTGGCCAGCCTGATATTTTTCTAGCAATAGTTCTGTTGATTTAACTTAAGTGAATGGCGGGCTCTGTCTGGCAATATAACCCCATGAGAAGGAGTGGTCTAGTTGCTCACAGCCGTAATGTAGCTTTTTCTGCAGCATGTCCCTCAAGTCAGTTGGACGCCTAAATTCCACAGCATCACTTTATTCTCGTATCGTTTAATCCCTGAGCTTTTCCCAAAGGCCTTTGTCTTATGGCTCTGCCTAGAGTTCCAGCTAGTGATGGGAAAGGAGACCTAGTGAAGTTTCCTTGGCGCTCTCTTCGTCTTTGAGCTGATATATTTTTAAATTGGAGATTGTCAGACTTCTCATGTTATGGTGGCTGACCCATATCCAGCGCTGAAACCATAGGGAAGGAAGGAAGATGTGAACAGATGTTCACGCTGTGAGCTGTATCAAACGCAGGTTATTGCAAACTAGCAGGAGGCTGAAAGAGCACAGTATGGAAAAAATAGAGGAGAAAGAATTAATACTCGTTTAAAAATAATCTGTGGCTGAAGCCATTTGGTCTACTCCTAGCATAAGGCATTGTCCAGTTGCAACAAAGGTGTCTGACTCTTGCCCTGTTTTAGCAATGGTAGTGATTTTCACAATAAAATAATAAGATTTAAAAGTAGATCCAATCCTTGCCTGCAGACCTCTGTGATGGATTGCTCTGTGTTTGGCTGTTAGGGGTTAGTTTGTTACGCTTACACCCTGAGGTTTAAATTACTGATGACATTGATCTAACACTGCTTTTCTCTTTGGAAAAAATGAAGTTAATAATTACCAATAGGGTATGAGCCAAGACTTTCTTTCATTTTTTTTTACACTAAAATTAGGAGTTTTTTTTTCCTCACCTGACAGACATCCAGCATTCACTATAATTATTGTATTCCTCTCCTGCAGAGGTCACAAAACTCTTTGCAGGGGTTAATGAATTAAGATTTCCAGTCCTGAGTGAGTCTTATCTAATCAGACTCTAATGCCAGGTTAATAACAGGGCAGGCTGTACTTAATATGTTCAAGTGTATTTGTGATACTGAAGCCACTTTTTTTACAGCTGTTGCTTTGGTTTCTGTTTTCTCTTTTTGTTTAGGTTTATCAAGGCTTATAAGAAGTTCGGGCTGCCTCTTGAACGGTAAGTGCCACCCTGGCTCTGGGGGTTGTCACAAGGGGTTGTTGTGCTTCAGGGCACTGCACTGTGCACCCTGCTATGGGTGCTGGACACAAACTCCCCACACAGCACCAAGCCTGGGAGGTCAAAAAGCGCTCGGGTGGGCCTGGAAAGCTGTAGCCCTTTCTGAGGCCTCTGAGCTGAGGCTGCAATCCCTGCCTAGGTGGTCTGAGAAATGACCTTGTTTTCTCAGCTGGTTGTACTCTTCTGCTGAGAAAGGCAAGGTTTGGGCATGGGCTTTGGCATAACGAGTTCCAGCCAAGCTGGAGGGGCAGCAGATGTCAGCTTTTGGCCATTATTAAATTGAGTTAATACAAAATTAGGAAGGCATCAAGAAACTTTGGGTAGTTGGAGAGGGAGCTGGTTGCTCCCAAAAGAGATAGTTAATACCTTCATTTCAATAGCAGAAAATCCAAAGGGCTGGATCTGCTGCACTGCCTCCACACTGCATTACTGTTGTTAGACCACAGAACAAGCTATAACTGCCTCGTTTCCTGCCCTGACTGCAGTCATGTGGGCTTCTTGTGTTCACACATGTACTGTGTGTCGGCTGGGGCTGGTGGCTGAGTGCTCTAATAGCACAGCTGGGACCTACGTGTCCCCACAAGTCTGTGGCAGGCAACGCTGGGGCCTTCTGAGCAGCACTGCTCAGCCATGCAGCGTTGCTGTAAGGGGAGGTGGCACGCACTGGCTGCCTGTCCTCTGTGCAAAAGATGCACACGTTGCTCCGTATTAACAGGCCGTGCTCACCCAGGTGCTCTTTACCTGCAGTCTCAGAGTCTGCACTTGAGCATCGTTTTGTAGTCGTGCAGAGCAGGTACCCGGGGCATCTAAGCGTGAGTGAATTCTGCCCACAGCAGGCAGCGAGGTGGAGAGCTGTGGTTCAGCACAGCATGCAGAATGCAATGCAGAATCAGTTATTGAAAACTTCCAATTCTTTTTTTTTCCTTTTTTTTTTTCCCCATTTCCCAGGCTGGAGTGCATTGCTCGGGATGCTGAGCTGGTGGATAAGTCTGTAGCTGATTTGAAGCGGTTAGGGGAGCTCATCCACAACAGCTGTGTGTCAGCAATGCAGGAATACGAGGAACAGCTGAAAGAAAATCCAGGTGAAGGTAGGCAGGAGGGCTGGGTGCAGCTGTTAAAGAGCTTTGGAAGTGTTCTGTGGAATGGGTGAGGCTGTTCCCATGCTGGACAGGGTGATATGCCACATGGCAGCTTAAAGACATCTCTGCCAGACAGATACCATCAACAGAGAGAAACCTACAAGTCCTCTGCTCAAACTGGAGTGCCATTTTGTTGCATTACTGTCTGCTAAACATGAGTTTTCTAGGGGAGAGATCCAATCCACCAATTTATTTAATGCCACAAGACACTATGGACATAAGAGATGATGAGTAAGGTTTTGATCTCTGTTTCTCTAGACTTTTCCCCTTCATCCTGCAAGAGTGCTCTAATTTGACGTGTTTGTTGTTGAACAGGGAAAGGACCTGGGAAGAGAAGAGGTCCTACCATCAAGATTTCTGGCGTCCAAGTCAACGTGAAATCCATCATCCAGCACGAAGAGGAGTTTGAAATGCTGCATAAATCCATTCCCACAGACCCGGAGGAAAGGAAGAAGTGAGTTTGAATGGCTGAGCAGGCAATGCAGAAAGAGGCTCAGGGAGTTTGGATTTTGTGGTGGAAAGGGACTAGCCTAGATACGTGGATTTGCTTTACCCCCCCCGAAGCATTAAAAGTAGCTCATGTTTGAAATGCCTTCAGGTACCGCCTGACATGCCGTGTCAAAGCTGCCCATTTTGATGTAGACTGGGGAGTGGAGGAGGATTCTCGCTTGTTAGTGGGAATTTACGAGCATGGTTATGGAAACTGGGAGCTAATTAAAACAGATCCGGAATTGAAGTTATCTGATAAGGTAGGTTGCTTTGCATGTTGCTTGCATCGGGTCCATGACAGTGTTCATAGAGAACATGTTTGATTTGTCCCAGAACCAGATGTATATGTTTGTAAGCACTCCAAAAATAATAAATAGTAACAAGGAAAACAATGACCTCTGTGGAATGCTGCATGGTTGATGGAAAGCAGTTATGTTATTTGATTGGCAGCAAATTTTCTCTGAACGGTACCATATGAACCACACTGAAATGATGCAGGAGGAAAATGGTGATGCTGACATGCGGTTACGTGCACATTGCAGAGCGTGCAATGCATAATCACGATGATATTTCCTTGAGCATCTCACAAACACTTGAGTGTGGATCTCTGTGTGAATAGAATTTTTCACAGATTTGACACTGCTTATGTCATGATTGGTCTGTGTTAACTGAGGGTATAGTTACTTGAGTGTTTGCCTAGGGCAGTAAAGCCAGCTTGAGAGCCTCCATTTAGCTTCTCTGTCCCTCGGCCATTCCCGTAAGAACTGTTTATGGGGGCCGTGTTGAAGTGATCCAGGTTAAAAATAAGCCACCAGCTGTTGTGTCAGCACAGTGGAAGGGCGGTGGATTCACAGTACAGGCCTGGGGAACATCGGGGCTCAGCTTTGTTGCCAACATAAATCCCATTCCCATGACATCCCCTCTAGCTTTGTAGAAAAGATTGGACTGGGGCTAAGAGCCTCCCAACATGAAGTTCAGAAGGGCTTTTTCAATGGAAAAAAAATGCCTGAGACACACCATCAAAATTGCAGTAAAGTAGTAAGGTACCCATAGGTGGCACGTTGAGAAACCCTGCCACAAAGTGGCAGCCTTGCAGCCCTGTTTTCTGATCAACATTCTCTGGCTCTGTCACTACCGTATCAATGTCTCAGGCTGCCAGAGGATACCAGTCTTGTGACAAGACTGTCGCAAACAAGTCTGATATGTCAAAATGCAGAGTGAACTCAATTTTGCAATGTAGGCTTCCAGTATAGTTTGCAGTATTTTTTTCTTTTTTTTCTTCTACAAAAGCCCGGGTTAGGGATCTTTGCAGTTGCTAGGAACTTTCCTGATGGCAAAGACAAGCAGAGTCTCTGTGGGATATCGTCAAGCATAGGAAAATTGTTTGAGCCTTCTGTTTCTCCAGAAGGTGCAGCATCTCCAGCCCTTTGCTGCTCTGGAAGGACCACTGTTCATGTATATCACTTCCTGTTGAGGTTTGATAGGTGCATGTGGGTGTATTTCTTTTCTTTTTTTTTCTTTATCAAAGATCCTACCTGTTGAGACAGATAAGAAACCGCAGGGAAAACAGCTTCAGACCCGGGTTGATTATCTACTGAAACTGCTGAAGAAAGATCTGGACAAGAAAGAAAACATGAAAGATGGGGAAGAGGTGAGGAACACGGGTACTTGATTCTGTGGGTTTCAGGATGGGTGGTTGTTCAAGGGTGGGAGGCAAGACAGGCTGTATTCCCAACTCACTGAATAATCTCTGCATGAGAAGCTGTTGTCTGATCACCCTGTGATACTGAAATGATAATTGGTAGAGGACATATAATGACTACACTAATGGATGGACTTCACCGTAACACTCTAGTTCTAGATTAAATTTTCCACTTTGACAACTAAAAACTAAGCCTGTGTGAGCTGAGTGTGCTCTGTGTACAAACCACTACGGGAAAATTGGGGATGGTCATGCCTGTTTAATCAAGCTATTTTTCAGCAGTGGATACCACTGCAATTTTAAAAAGGTTTCAGAAAATGGTGGAATGAAGAAAGCTGGGTGCTAACTATACTCTTAGTCCTCAGTAAGGGGCACTTCGAGCTCCAGACACAGGGCATAGCTTGGTCTGGAATATATTTTGGATATATTCTATCTTTTGTTTCTCTCACTTGGAAGTTGCCCCATTATGCGTTCTGTTAAATATCTGTGAAATACCTGATGACAGTGGAAATCAGGTAGCTTCCTGCTCTGTCACCTCAGTGTCATCATTTTGTATGAACCAATTTGTAGATGTTTGGGATATTCTCTTGGCTCCTCAGATCTCACAGACAGGTCCTTTTCCTGTCTGAAATTTGATCATTTAATTTCATATGTGACCCACTGGGCTTCCTGGGGCTGTTCAGGCTTCCTGCCACCAAGCAGGACTTTCAGCTATGCATGAGGTGTTGATGAGATGGGATATGTCTCCAGGAAGCAGCCACAGCTCTTTGCTTGCTCTGACTTGCTCTTTGTCTTCTCCAGGGCAAGCTGAAGAAGAGGAGACCACGGGTGAAGAAAGAGAACAAGGCTCCCAAAGTCAAAGATGAACATGGGAATGAACTGTCCTCTCCTCGACATTCAGACAACCAGTCAGAAGAGGGTGAAGTCAAGGTGAGCTGACTTGGTGATAGCAACTTTGAGGGGTTCTTTGGGTTATATTGCTACAGAAACTCAGCTTGAAAAGCTCCTGTTACAAATGCCCTGTAGATTCAGGGGGAGCTGCAGAGTGTGTTCCCATAACAGCTTGGACCTGAGAGGGACCTTTTCCCACTCTTTTTAGCTAGCACCTTAAGGGTTTTTGGTGGATCCTAGAATAGCCACACACATCTGAATGTTGCCTTGGAGGAAAGGTTGTCTTAGGACAAAATCTTTTGGCCTTGTAAAGGAGAGAAAGAATTGTTTCCCTCTCCTTTTCTGTACGTCAGCTAGTGCTGAAGCTGGAGTGTACCAAGGTCATGCTGCTGCTTAGAAAAGCATCTCTTGAGTGTTTGGTTTATAGCCTGAGGCTCTTTGTTCATGCTCTGATCAGTATCTACCTTGTGGGTAGTTACTGAGCGTTCTCCAGTGCAGCTGGCCTAGGCAGCGCTTCTCTGGAGCTTGCCAGTTAGTTACATATTGGTGCTGATCTAATTTTTATGCCCTTCTGCGAAGGGCTGGGTGGATGGACTTTCTATCTGGTTAGTACAGACAGATAAATGAGACAAATGTGGCTCAAAAATGATCTACTTTTCATGGATGCAAGTTTTATGGGAGACACTGTATGTGAAGGGAGAGACTCCAAATTTGACTGTGCTGTGACTGCTTTTCTAGGAGGATGGCTTGGAAAAGAGCCCAGTGAAAAAGAAACAGAAGAAGAAAGAGAACAAAGAGAACAAGGAAAAACAGACAAGCACTAAGAAAGAAAAGGAAAGTGATAAAGAGAAAAAGAAGACAAAAGACAAGAAAGAAAAGGTATGTGATACTCTCATAAGTAGTCTAAGAGTGCATAGGAAAGCATCTGATTGAGAGGCAAGACATGAGACTTGTGATTTGTAAAGGCCCTGTGAGAAGAGACATCAGTGAAGCACTGTAAGGTATCCCTTTTCCAGGTCTCCTGAATTTCTTGCTGTGAAGAAAAGGCAATGTGTCCTAAAGCTTGTGGAATGAGAGAAGAAAGGGAGAGGAGATTGATCGGACTGTCTTTAAAACACAGCAGACCCTGTGATGACAGTAACATCACAAACAGCTCGTGTTAAGGAAGAAAAGAGCAGGAGCCTGGAGCGCTCTGCTCAAAGTGATGTTCAGCTGTGATTTGTTACGGAGTTGGCAGCTGCTTGTCTGTGTTCCCCTCTAGTTTAAATTCACATAGAACAACCCAACTACCTAAGCCCCTAGGACAACTGTGAGTTGTCATTGTGGCCATTGAGGACTCAGGAGAATGAATGTTTCAAAAGCAGTGCTATATTTATGGACTGAAGTGTCCCTTGAATTTTGGGTACAGTTGTTCTTAGCCTGGGTTCAAATTGGAGAGAGGTAAAAGACTCTATAATAATGTGAAGCACCTCTCCAAAGAACAGGTAGGTACTTTGTGCCCAGTGTGTTTTGACATTGAGGTTGTAAGTACAAACCAAGATTTATTTTATATGTACGGGAAAGTTTGCTTTTCAGTGTTTTTTTTTTTTTTTGGCCTTGATTCTGAAGGACTTAGACCACAGATAAGTCATATAGGTTAAAATTTGCACTTCTCAGGCCATGATCTGAGGTTGCTTTCCAGAGGGTCTGAGCACTAGCGATGTCCCACAGCACACAAGCGCTTGTAATCATCAGGCTGAGCACTGCCCTTTGGAAGAGATGTATATTCTTAGCTTAATCTCTCTTCCAAGTCCTCGAAGTTTTTAATCCATGTAAGCATAAGCATCATATCCATGTCCAAAATGTTGCCTGTGACTTCTCTGTGCTCCCTCAGGGATGACATAAAGCTAAACAGAGACATGGCAGCAAAACAGTTTAAGATCCTGGGAGGAGAGCTATGGGAGCAGTGCCCAGGATTTAACAACTGCCAGTAACAATAGTGTGAAGGTTGTTGGATCACTTGGGATCCTGCAGTCTGGGTCATCATGCGATGTGTATAATTTGTCCTTTTAAAGCCTAAAGGTGGTGAAACCAAATCTGGAAGTAAAGGGAAGAGGTCTCAAGGTCCTGTCCACATTACAGCAGGGAGTGAACCAATCCCTATTGGAGAAGATGAGGACGATGATCTGGACCAGGAAACATTCAGCATAGTGAGTATTTCCTCGGGGAGCTGGGGAGACAGTAGCAGAGAACCCCAGCAAGGTAGCTGGAGTTTATTTGCATCTTTTCCAAGGCCATGTGTAAATGTCAGGGCAGGTGCACAGCACTAATCCACGCATCACTCATAGGGAGAGAGTTCTTCATGCTCTCCTGTGGCTACCTCTGGCCACTCAGAGACTATCAGCTGTAAGAGTCACTCACACAGACTCTTCTGTGTCAGCCAGCTGTCTGCTGTCAATGTCATCTCAACTGAAAGAGCTATCAAAGCTCTTCCAACCCCTAATCTCACAAATCAATAGCACTATTTAAGGGTTTCAATAACTTTCTTCAAAATTTTGCCTTGTGTTAGAGGGGTTTCCTCTAAGGGGTTCCCTTGCGTTCCCTCTTGGTGAAGAAAATCATTCACCTCTAAAAGGAGGGCAGTGGAGAGGGGGAGACTCTCATCTTTTCTGAATTTTATGTACCGTGTCTAACAAATTGCTGTTTTCACAGCTGATTTCTCCTTGCCTAACAGTCAGACAAAGCTCGTACCCAAGCTAATGAACTTTTTCCAGCTCTGTCTGGTTAATAAGAGTGTGAGCTCTGTGCCAAATGAATCACCTTGTGCTCTCTGTTGCTTGTTCAAGTGCAAGGAAAGGATGAGGCCAGTGAAGAAAGCACTGAAGCAACTAGATAAGCCTGATAAGGGACTGACGGTTCAAGAACAGCTGGAGCACACGCGCAACTGCCTCCTAAAAATAGGGGACCGCATCTCTGAGTGCCTTAAAGCTTACACTGACCAGGATCATATCAAGCTATGGAGAAGGTGAGGGAATTTTCTTTTTTTTTTTTTGACTTTTTAACAGCTGGTATACTTTAAAATTGTACTCCAAGGTTTCTGGGTTTTGCATGGTAAGTATGCCGTTTTGCTCGTATTAACATGTTCTTGTGAAAGAAGTGTTGCTGGCCCTAGTCCACTCAGTCCTTGATCAGTCTCTGATAAAGGTATTGTTTGCATCAGCGTATTGTGTTGGTCTCACTTAAATTGATTTTCATTAGTTCAGCCAACAAAAAACCCTTTATTTTACTCTGAAGAACTCAGAGAGAGGTCCTGGAACATTCTCTCCTTAACTGGAAGGAGAAAGTTTTCCACTGAGGGTAGAACTGATTTGATGTTAGTTGGACACAGGCCTACACATGGTGCAGCCCCTGTGTAGACAAAGCCCTGGGCACTTGTATGTGTTCAGAGCTGGGAAAAAATCTCTGGACCACGGACTGGCCTCAGCATGATCCTTCACATTGCGGGAGATCTGCCAGGTTCTGCCTTAGTCACGGACTCAATTCTCAGCTGGGCTGGACACTGGCTGTAAGATTTTATGTGCTGATCCTGTCCATTGGTTCCCAATCAGTATACTGGGGGGATAATTTCCTTTTTCTCATCCTTGGCGTTGCCTGTATGGTCTGAACTCCTCAGGGGTGGCTGTCTTGTGCTCTGTGTTTGAATGGGAGGAACCTCTGAGTAGGAATCAGACAATGGGAAATTCTGCTTCCAGCCAAGGAATGGCAACGCAAAGATTTGGGTAGGGACCCCTAGGTTGCCTGCTAGAGGAACTTCACCATCTGTTTTGAGAACACTAGTGAAGAAGGTGGCAGTTAAAATGCTCATTTAGCAATTAACAGAAAATGTTGATGTCATTCTAGGAACTTGTGGATATTTGTGTCAAAGTTCACAGAATTTGATGCCAGAAAACTGCACAAACTCTACAAGATGGCCCATAAGAAAAGATCGCAGGAAGAGGAGGTGAGATGTGATGTGTGTTCCCTCAGTGAGGAAGAAGTTGGGAAGAGCAGAGTTTTTCGTGCTCTTCTCTGTCCTAGCTTTGCTGGTGGGATTTGTGTTAGCGTCATTGCTCCTTACTCTGGTTCCAAGTGTACTCTGTGAATTTGACAAACTACTTGTAAAACTTTGGATTAGAATCCAAGACCTATTTTCCCCTGAGAAGTTTATTAGCACTGCTCTGCCTCTATGTTTTGTAGGACAGATTTTTGTACTCTCTTTAACACTTGTTACACTTGAAATATTGATACCTACCATATCTTTATTGTGGGTTTTCTTTATTGTCATTGGCACACTATAATTGTCTTAAAATCCAAACAACCCTGATTGGTTTTGCCTCCTCTTTTGTGTGGAATTTCTCCTCTCTCGTCTAAAGGTGCTCATCACCTTTATTGCTTTGCCCTGGCTGCTTTAACCAAGAAGAGGTAGTGCTTGGTGTGACACAGCAGTGTGAGTTGGCCATGAGAGTAAAAAGGCTGAGGGTGCTGCACTGTGAAGGATATAGGATATAGAAGTAGAGTTGTGGGGGCAAAGTTGTGTTTGTCCTCCCTTACACTTGCACCATTCCCATTGTGTCCATGCTCGGGCAGAGTTAATTCACAAAACCTTCATGAAGAAGCAGGTGGCCCACAGTGCAGGGGATGTCCAGACAGATCCAGAGCCTGACAGATGAGGCCACTGCTCACATAGTGTGAATCTTCCGCTGGGAAAGCAGTCGAACTGTAACCCTCTCCCTCGTGCCTGGCAGGAGCAGAAGAAGAAGGAGGACATGTCCAGCATGAAGAAGCCCTTCCGCCCAGAGCCTTCAGGCTCCAGCCGCGATTCGGTGATGTCCCAGTCCCACGTGCCTCACAACCCTCATTCCCAGAAGATCCACATGCCCCCTTCCCATGCCCAGCAGCAAATGCATGGGCACCCACGCGACAACTACGGCCATCCCAACAAGAGGCATTTCAGCAACACAGGTGAGTCCTACACTGGGAAGCTGGAGAAAGCGCTCCATGCCAATATAATGGTTGTTTGCTCGTGGATACAGATCTTGCAGAACTTGGGTCTGGTCACATTTAAAAACATAGGGCTCATGTTGGAGAGGATGGGGTATTATGAGATGATGGGACAGAACATGCATTTTCACTTAACTGCTGGGCTAGAAAACATGGTGATGCAATGATGAAAAGAGTATAAGAACAGGACGGAAAAGTTTGGCTAGAGTAGTGATAAAGAAATTAAAATAATAAAATTGAGTCCACATAGTTAAGGGAGAACGCTAAGGGGACACAGTAATAGTTGTGAAATTTGTAAAGGGTGCTGCAGACAGGAAGATAGTAAGTTGTTGTGATTTCTTTGAGAGTTCAGCAAAGAAGTAATGGACTTTAATGAAGTACGAAAGACTGTGTGTGCTTTCATCGTTGCAGACCGAGGAGACTGGCAGAGGGATCGAAAGTTCAACTATGGAGGCAACAGCAACCAGGTGTGGGGCGGGGAGCGACATCACCAGTACGAGCAGCACTGGTACAAAGACCACCACTATGGGGACCGGCGATCTCGCGGGGAGCCCCATCGCAGCTCTGGGAACTACAGACCAAATAACCTCTCCCGCAAGAGGCCCTATGAACAGTACAACAGTGACCGAGACCACAGAGGCCACAGAGATTATTACGACAGGTAATGCTTTGCTTGCTCAAAAAGCCTGGGAGGAGTTTGCAGCAATGTCCCCACCTGCAGTGGACAGGTTTTCCTTGGGGCAGGCAGGTGTCGAGGGACATAGGCTGTGGATTCAGCATTGGGAGTTTGAGTCTCAGTCCAGAGACATACAGTGAAAAACAAAAGTTCATTTATTGTATGAGGCTAGTGTAAACAGCCCAGGGGTGCAGCAGCTGGCCTGCCTTAACTGTGTTAGGCAGTGGCCTGCCTCATCTTGGACACTTCGACCCTTGGGAGCTGCAGCTCAGTGATACATGGGATTTTTGGCAGTAACAGTACTGTTTGGGCCTGCCATTAAAGGCAAGATCTGCCAAGTTTGCTTGCTGAGTTGAGTTTGTTCTTTTGGACTGTTCTTGTCTATCACTGGGTAAGGCTTTAATTTTGCTGTAGCATCTAAAGTCTCAGACTTGGCTGTACTCGTTGTCTCAGACTTGGGCTGTACCAAAATCCCATGTCCTCCAGGTAGATCCAGCCAGGTGATGATGTTCCCCTTTTGCTGCAGTCCCAGCCGGGCACCAGGACTTTGTGTTCCCTCCCATACTTTGTAGTTGGCTGTATGCCAGCTAGGCAGCTAGAAGCCACTTGTGCATGCCACCTAGCAATGGATAAAGTGATGTGTAAGCAACTAGGTTAGACTGAGAGAGTGGTAGACATGGAGGTGTGGTTCACTAGCAGCTTATCAGCCTTTCCGAGGGCTATGAACTTGCTTAACTGCATTGTCCAGGGACAGAAATACCCATCCCCTGGCCCTCAGAAGGGGAAGGGCTTTATGAGAACCATGGGGAACCGATTTCCACTCATTCATTTTCTTCCTCCAGGCACCATCATGATTCCAAGCGTCGACGATCCGATGAGTTCCGGCCTCAGAATTACCACCAGCAGGATTTCCGACGCATGTCCGATCACAGGCCGCCCATGGGATACCACGGCCAAGGACCTTCGGACCATTACCGGTCCTTCCACACAGACAAATCGGGAGATTATAAACAGCCTCTCCCTCCACCTCACCCTGCAGTGTCGGACCCTCGCTCGCCCCCGTCTCAGAAATCCCCTCATGATTCCAAGTCACCCCTTGATCACCGGTCACCCCTGGATAGGTCGTTAGAACAGAAAAATAATCCAGATTATAACTGGAATGTACGGAAAACATAAAGTGACCAAGAGGGGAAAGCGTACGTCTGAAATATTTGGTCCGATGCAACAGCAGCTGGTTTCTCAAACCAGTAGCCAGAAACTCTGAACATGCTGCTATCATCTTGCTGGGTCAAGGAGGATTTTGGGGGAGCAGGTGGAGGAAGGTTCTCCCTAGCTCTCAGTTCTGGTCTGGATTCCAGTTTCATTTTCTCCCCTTCTCCAATTGAATGTTGGAACCAGGCTTGCTGCCTGCTGGGAGGAATGGGTGACATCCTTTGCTTTGGTTTATTTTTCCCCAGTCTGATGGACTCGAGTGAATTTTTTCCAGCCACAGAGTTTCCCCAGAACCAAGAAGGTGGATTGATGCTGCTTAGATTGTGCAGATGGCTGTATGCCTGCTCTGACTTGATGTTACATGACAGATGCTGCTTTGGAATTTGGGATAAACTGATTGGGCTGGGCTAGGCATGTAACCAGCGTAGGGCAATGAGAAGATATGTCCAGGGAGAGACAGTGGAGTCCCTCAAGAGCCAAACTTTTCCTGTTGCAGGGTTTGGCTGAAAAGAGGGGCTCAGCATCTCTGCAGAATGACTCCAAAGGAGTTGGACCCATGCTGGTGACAATCCATCACTTTCCTGGCCACATGCATTTCTCATGTCTTCATCCATTTCAAGAAACTGGCTCTGCTTCGAGTGCCATTGTGTCCCCTGCAACAGAAGAGGTGCAGGGAACCCTCCACCCACCTCCAGAGCTGGAATTAGGCAAATCTTGGCTCCAGAGAGCTTGAGATAAGTGAAGAAGAAACAGGTTTTTTTAGTCAAGGCTTAGTTCACGTGTAAGCAGTAGGAAATGAATTGGGATGAGAACAGTATTTCACAGTGAATAAGGCTCAGGAATTCATAACAAAGCTCCTCTCCTAACACTGGCAGCTTGTATGGTCCAGTAACTAATATGGACCATGCTGTCTGGAAGCAGCAGTGTACCAGGGCAAAAGATGCATCTAGGCATTTGGAGGTCCTGGTGTTCCCCATGTTCCTGTCACTGGAGTGCCCCAGTCTTGGGGAGGAGTGAGGGAGAGTGAGGAGTACAGGACTCTTGGCACTTAAAAATTCTTGGAGCAAATGTCTTAGGAACCCAACACAGAGAGAGGGAGAAGAATGGTTTGCAGTCCAGTAGAATGGACTTCAGAGGAAACATTCATCCAAAGTATTAGAATCACAGTATATTATGAAGAATAATGTCCAGTGTGGAGAGTGTAATATGGTGATTGTGATTCCTGGCCAAAAGTAGACTCCGTGATATTTTCTTTTAGGTTGAAGCTCTTCATTAAAAGTGTGATATCCCTTGAGATTAAAAAGCAGCTGGGCTGCCCAGATCATGGTATCTGGGGGTGTATCTCATCTCCTGGAGCTCAGTATTAAAGATCAGGCTTGTTCCACACTGCTGCTTTTGGTAGGGGCGAATATTGAGCTTCTTTCTAAGACGTCAGTGTGTGACCCTGGGAAGCTGTGATGTCCTTTTGGTGAAAGATGCAGGGGAGATGGGTGTTCATGACTGGCTTCTCTGCCTTGCTGCTGTTGCGCCTCCTGTAGCTAGCACTTTGGAAGGCCACGCACAAATCAACACTAACAAGCCCCACATCTCCCATCTGCTTGGTGCTGAAGGAGTGACGTTCCTTGTAATCCGCTGTGATCCTGGGATGCTCGCTGTTCCGAGCCCACTGCTTTAACTGGGCATGTCTCCATTAAACCCTTTGAGAAAGGATCCATGATTTCCTGCGCATGGAGCAGTTGCACGATTGCCTGTCCTTGTGCCACAAGAACACCTATGCCCAGCTGCATGTTTGCGTTTGGCCCTCTCCAGATGGGGTTTGCTTCATCCTCTACTGTGATACTCGAAAGAGGGGTGGCCCTCTGACCTGTGTCCTATCAGTGAGGATTTTGGCAAGCAGGAGTCCTCTTGGGGCCGATCCCAGGGTAGATGTAGAGACACATTAAATCATGGCTCTGGAAGGCAAGGAGGTATTCTGCTCCCCGCCCCACCCGCTGTTTTTTTTATTTCTGAGCTTTTCACCAAACACACCAGAAGCAGCACAGTTCTGCTTCTCTAGGGGTGAATCTATACAGTGCACCGCCCTGAAGAAGTGGTGCACGTGTGTTTGTGCAGTGGGAGGAAAGGCAAGTCTGCGCTGGAGCGGAGGGGCGATGGGGGAGTTGAAATAATGCATTTCCACTGCATTTTTACTAAGGTGCGTTGACGGAGCACCCGCTGTGAGGTTCTACAAAGAGGTCCTTTCTTTTCAGAGATATTAGCTTTTACTGTGAACATGGAAGAAACCTCCTCGCTCAGAGGGGCAAAGAGGAAATGCTCTTTTCATTCATATTCATCCGTTGTGATGGACAGTTTGTGCCATACAGTTGTAGCAAAAGGCAATACTGGCCAGACCAGTGTTACGATTGGTGCAGGCAGACTTTGAACCCCAACAAGAGGTATTTTTCCATGTCTAGATTTGCCCTGGGTTTTGGGCATGAAATTGTTGGGGGTTTCCTTTTAGAAACCTGTGCAACTTCAAAAGCTTTATCTGTATCTGATGAAGAGCTGCCCCTGCTGCCCTGTTGGCTTGAATACTAACCAGTCACATAGTTGTGTTCTCTAATGGTGAGTGGGTCTTCAGTGGGTTTGGCCTAAAACAACTTGAAGAACTGGACTGGGGAGAAAGGAAGTCCTCCCTGAGCACACACCTGTGTTTGTCCCCTCGAAATAGGGACCATAACCAGATGTCGGCACTTGGATGTGAACGGGATGGGAGGGGACAGGTCCACAGCCATAACTCTCACTACAGTGTTTGTGGCAGCAGCTGGTGCAGCTGCAGGATTCCTCTAGCCTCTTTGAGGAAAGTTGCAAGTAGCACCTTGCTGGGTTGTTTTCCCCCCCCCCTTTTTTTTTTTTAAAGATTTATTTTAAGATTTTAAAAAAATCTTTAAAAAAAGTTTTTTTTCAGACCGGGCCTTTTGGAAATGGTGTAAAGTTATGAATTCACATGATGGAAGTCCTGCAGACTAAAAGCTGCTGCAAACAGTGCTGCCATGCCCAACTGAGTGGATACTTAACAGCTTTTTGAAGTCCATACGAACAGTTTACGTGATCCACACAGAAGTACTTGTCTGCTTTCACCCATTTCCTCCTGACCTGCACCTCCCCACCCGGGAGAGAAGGACTCTTACTGTAAAATTGTGGACTTTTAAACCTGTTGACTAAAAACAGTAATTAATATTAATTTATATTTGTGAAAAAAATGCCACTGTCCTAGTGATTTCTGATGTAAATATGTTGTTTATATAGTATGTATTAAATTTTCCTACATTGTAAAACTGCTGTACTTTTGATTCTTGTATATTAAAAAGTGTTACTGAGATTTTTCAAAACCTCGCCAGCTTGGTGTGTCAGGTGGTGTCCTATAGTCCTCTGAAGAGCTGCAGCCAGGCTGGGAGCTCGGTGCACACATTGTAAGCACAGAGTGTGTGCTCGGAAGTGGAGGTGTCGTGGGATGTCAGGACCCATCTCCTGTGAGCCGCAGTGGATGGGTGTTGTGAAAACATGCAATTCGGATGTTCTACATAATTACACCATCTGCAGTGATAAAGGGCAAATGCAGACTTGAGAACTGCTTCAGAGGGGAATTTCCACCTGACTGGGGTAATCTATGTGTTTTCTCCCCAGTTGCCACCACGATTTCACTGGAATGGGACCGACTTTTATAGTGTGTTTATCCAACATCCGTCTTCTGGATCTACGGAGATGCGTAAACTTTTTGACACTTTCGTGAGGGAGTTCTCTCTTCGGTGCAAGGGCTGGTGTTCCCCGTATATCAGTGGAGCTCCCAGCCTTTGTGGGCTGGGATTTGCCTCCCTCTGCGCCCGGGGACCAGCAGCACATCAGCTTCAAGCGTTGCAGGTTGCTAGGTGAGGAGCGAATGCATCCTGCGTGCTGCAGCCTGGGGGCAGCTTTGCTTTGGTCTCCAGCAACTCGGTCCTCTTCCTGTTTAATTGGAGACAAAGATGCTGAGAAGCAGTGTGGGGCTTCAAGCTGCTCCTCCAAAGCTCTAAGAGCTCATTGTAGAAAGAGCTTTTACTTCCCACACCTGTAGCCACTGGATTCAGGCCTTTTCCAGCCTCCCTCGCTGCTGAGCAGAGCCAAGTTCCAGGCAGGAGTGAGATTTCACAGCTGAGTTACATGCCCCTGACAAATGGGTTTCCTCATGGAAAGACTGACCCGGCCGCCCGCGCCGGCACTTTGGCAGGGAGAGGCGTCGCTGGGCCGTGAGTTTGTGGCGGCAGCGGGGCGTATTTTAAGATGAAGTGCCGCAGTAACGCTACGTTGGCGGTTTGCAGTGACAAGAACCTCTCCAAACTGGAGAGGGCCTTTTCCTGGCAGCGACGTGCCCAGCCTCACGGCCGAGCTCCCGCCGCTCGGCGCCCCACGTGCTCCTGCTCGTTACGGGCCGCAGCGGGGCCCATTCTGTGCATTTCCAGGGCGACCTCACGCTCACCCGGCCCGACCATGGAGGCTCAGGGGGCCCGTGGGGCAGCGGTGCCCGGGGGACGCGGGTTTTTGGGTCCCCCTGAGGCAGGAGATCTCTCTGAGGCGGAGAGGACCCTGCTTTTCAGCCCGCACCATGCCAGAGTTGACCCTCTAGAGGGCAGCCAGTTCCCAGCAAAAAGACGGGTTTTGCTGAACCCTCTTCTGCCGGCAGGCGAGGGCCATGGCCGCCTCTGAGCACCGGGCCCTGGGCACATGGCTGTGCCCAGGACCTGTTCCCACCTGGGGGCCACACGGCCACTACTTGTGGGGCAGAGCACCCAGAAGGGCTGGGGATTTTCATCCCAAGGAGCAGAGCAGTGGGGAAGAGGTGGAGGTGGCTGGGAGGGCTTCTCCTCCATGCTCTCTCCAAGCTTAGATGCTCTTCCTGAAATTTATTTCACGCTGCTTAGAGCTGCTGGAGCCGGGCTGTGCTTGGGTCTCCTCCTTCTGGAGGGTAGGGAGGCCAGGGGATTTGGGCTGCAAGCTACATGCCAGCGGCCAAAGGGCTTGTGCTCTTTTCCACTGAACTTATTTCCAGGGGTCCAGAGCGTTTCTGACCTTCCTGAAGAGCTGTGGCAGCCTGTGCATGGCTAAAATGGAGGTCCCCATTGCAGGCAAAGGAGTAGGAGCTGCTTGGGGAGAACAGCACTGGGACACTGCGCAATGGCTGAGTCCTCGCAGGGGCCCAGGTTGGCTTTCAAATGCCTCTGCTTGAATCTGTCGAAACAGTGTGTCTTCTACCCGTATGCATGTGTTCGGCCTTAACGGCCTCCTGGTCCCAGCTGCTGAGACCCAGATTTCTTTAGCTTTATAAAAGGGGAAAATGAATGCTAAAAAGAAAAATAGTTGTGGTTCCCGCTTTAGAGGGCAGTACCAGACCCGGTTTGGGCCGAGAGCTGAGCTGGAGCTGCAGGTGCTCATTCCCAGGAACTGCTCCGAGGAGCCATGCACCAGGCAGCCGGGGTTTGCGCTCCTTGGCCTCTGGGAGGAGGAAGGAGGGAGCCTCGAGCATCTTGTGCCATGTTGCTGCTGCAAGTTGGCCTTCTTTCAAAGCTCACTTCATTAGTTACATTTGCCTCCTCCCACACACATCTTTTTTATTTTCCTCATTTGGTTGTAGATAAATAAGACCCCAGAGTGAGAGTTTAGGGCAGAGAAGGAGGTAGGTCCATGGGCTGCAGACTTCAGAAAGCTGCTCTAGAGAGAATGCAGCAGAGGTGATGGCGTTTGCATCCTGAAGGACAGACAGCACAATGCAACACACAAGGAACAAAAGAGACCCACAAATTTATTGTCAAAAAAATCCTCAAATTTTACTTGCATTTTTCTCAATAAATAATTTACAGTATATACACGCGGTGACACTCCCATGGGTCTGAACGCAGGGAGGAGGTGGGGAACCTTCTCGTAACACCGCCCCCCCCCCTTGCCTACCTATTATTTTGTTTGTTTTTGTTTCCAAGTATCAGGTCTTTCTTGGCCACACTTCATCTTTAACCAGAATTGGGTCAAACATAACCAAAATAAAGTGCTTCACTGTTTGCTTCTAAAATAGAGACACCCCAACTACTGTACTACAGCTGACCAGCACTGGAGCGCTCACCTGGAGAGGGGCACAGGGCCGTGAGATAACGATAGACTTTTCTGGGCTGGAAATTAGCCCCAAACCACAGCACAAGATGCCTTAGCATGACAGCCTTTTAGGAAGCAGAGGTCATTTGGGAAGCAGTAACACATAAAGACACTGCTGCCTGGCTCAGCCCGCTTTGAAGGAGTGCCGGCTCCTCCGAGGGATGCTTTAAAGCCTCGCGGGGTTATCTGGGCGGTAACAGGTTGAGAAGCAAAAGCCTCCTTTTATCCAGCGACAAATTTTGGCTTTCAGAACTTGCATATCCAATTTCTAGGGGAGACAAAAACTTGGCTCTTTATTTAGTAAAGGAAACAAAAAGTCCTGGCCTCAGCTAAGCCATTAGTGCATTGGGAAGCTGCCGCGCTGTGCGGCATTAACCCATCCAGTGCCACGGTCCAGTAGTTGGTCTCCTCAGTGCCTCCAAACTGTGATATCCTTATTTTAAAATCTCCCTAAACGGAATACCTGGGGCATCAGCAAACAAAGCAAGGAGCAAAGTAGTAAACACATCATTTTTTTTTCATTTCTTTCCTTAAACATTTAAAAAACAATTACATCTCTTCATCTGTACAGTCACACGAGATCAATGCCAGGGCTCTATATATTAAAAAGACAATATAAATTACATCCATTGACACAATTTTGCATTTCTCTGCTGCTTTACAAATGGAGCTCTAGAGCTGTTAGGACACACTGAATAGTCACGTTAAGTATTTACATCAGGCTGCCTCTTGGCACCAGTTCAGACTGCCAAATGTCCCCCCTCTTTTGGTGATAGCTTGTCTCGTCATGCCTGGAGACCACCCTGGAGAACAGGAGCTGCCCGCATGGTTTGGGGCCGATTTCGGGGAATTTCCCACTAAGGAAAGGAGGGGAAATCTACAAAGAGGTCTCCAAGATGCAGCCCAATGGTGGTCTTGCTGCTTGTTCAGTGAGTGTTGAGGTGAACCACAGAGGAGCATGGAGAAGAGACAGGCAGCCTACACCGTGGAGGGGGAAGGAGATTACTGATGGTTTCAAGCCAGGGAACAGACATTTGGGAGCTTTTGGGAAAGGGTGGAGTGGGGGGGGGGTCCTCTGCTGCATCCAGTCTCCTGGCTGGCTTTCTAACATTGCCCCATTTCAGATTCAAGCCCAGCAGGGCTTAAGGTGCAACTGGTCTGAAACGGGGTAGCAAGTCATGCCCCAGGACTAGGAGAGGAGCAGAGACCTAGCAGCAAACAAACAGGGAGCGACGCTCCCGCTCTGGGGCCCGGCTGGCTCGTGGGCTTCCCTTGAGAGCGCGCAGGCCGGGCGCAGGCCCTGCCATAGGCCCCGCCGTTGGCACGGCGCTTGGGAGACGTGCGGGTCAGCTCTCCCCACCAGCCAGCCTCCCTGCTGCCCAGGTTAAGGGAGCAAAGAGCAAATGGCACAAGGAACTGCTCCAGTGCTGGGCAAAAGTTGAAGAAACCGCTTGAATACTGGCCAGGTTTCTCCTGTCGCAACCAGGAGTCCTTGGTGGGTCTGGGTGCAAGCACTAGGCAGCAGGGAATAAAACCTGCTGAGCAAACCAGCCCAGGGAACAGGCTGGAAGAGGAGATGCCCTTCGAACCGCAGTGACCATCAGGACTCGGGGAGTGCGTCCCCTCTGTGACCAGAAGCTGCCTCATGCCCACTGGCCACAGGGCTGGAGAGCCCGGCACCAGCCAAGCACCAAAGGAGCAGGGTCACCCCAAGAGCCGGCTGTGCCAAATGGGCCACGGAAGGGGACGCAGCCGCTGGCCCATCCTGTCTCCTCGTGGGCACAGCGCCCCTAACACAAAGCCACGGTCACAAACGCCAACGTCACAGTCACCACGAGCATTTTCAGTACCACGAGGGAGCACTAAGGGGAGGCTGGGACTCCCTGACATCCAGACTACTGGGAGGAGGAGGAGGAGAGGGGGAGGTGGGGAAGCGCCGTGTGAGGTATGGTCCAGCAAAAACTCCTAGCCGGTCCCAGGGACAGCATGTTCCTCCCAGGCAAGAACTGGGAAGGGGAAGGGCTAGCACTGAAGAGAGGTGCTGAAATTTGAGCATAATCCTTTAGCTCCCAGCTGGATCCATTATCCAACCTCTCACTGTCCAGCACTGCCATCATGTCATCCCTTCCTGCTCCCCTTTCCCCACTCTACAGGGCACGTGGGAGTAAACATCTACAACAACACTGACCACCACCGACTCAGACACAGCAGTGCTGCCCAGAGGGCAAGGAGGGCTTGAGGACTCCGCGAGGGAGCCGCGTTGCCAGGGGCCAGGTCCCGTGTCCTTTCATAGAGGTGCAGTTTGTCCTTGTTGGAGTGAAGCATCTTCACGTCCTCAAAGGCGTAATAAGCAGCCAGCATGAAGTTGACGTCCCCCGTGGTGAGGAGGTCGAAGACGCAGGACTGGAAGTAGAGGTCCTCTACGGGCAGCTTTTCCCTGCACTTGGCTGTGGCTGTTTCGTACGTGAAGGCCTCGGGGGCAGCGGGGAGGATGGGCCCCTTCCTACGGGTGCGGCTCTCCGTGGCCTGAGGGGAACGGAAGGTCTGGACATCGATCTGTTGGTTGAGAGGGCAGCCGCGGAGACACAGGTAGAGGCCCTGGTTGTCCCTATCCTCCACGGCGTTCACCACCTCCTCTGGCATGCGCACAGCAAAGGTGAGGTACCGGCCCACCTGCCTCACCACGATGGTGGTGCCAATGTACTTTGCTTGGATCTCAATGTGCTGGCCCGAGACCTTCTCAGTGATCTTCAGGCTGTTGGCTCCATGTTTGTCTCCGCCATTCTTGGAGCCGTCAGCAAAGGCAGCGGGCAGCTCGTCCATCTCTGCCTGGTACACTTTCTGGTCCACGCACTCCTGGAAGCTCTTGAAAATGATGGTGAGCTGTGGAGGAGGAAAGAAAGGAACAGAGTTACAACCAGTGCTGAGAACCCAAGCAATATGCAGGGAAGGAGTACGGGAGCGGGACTCCTCAGACCCTTCAGGAGCAGGGCTTTCAGCTGATAGCAGTGGGTTCCTCCCAAGACGTGGCCCCAACTTTTAGGCACCCGAACAAGGTCATCCTGCCTCAGCACAGAAGCAAGGACACCATGCAGGCAAGTTGCATAAAGACAGGATCCAGAAGTAGGATCAAACCTAAGCCTATGGTTTGAATCTGAGCTCTTATCTTGTGGCCTAGGACAAGACCTCTCTTGTGTGAAGTATCATGAATTACCAGCTTGTCATGACATGCCTATGCACATAAGGCTGTCTCGCCTCCAGGGCCTGGCAGCTGGCCAGGAAGATGAGTCCTGACTCTCCTGGGGACTCTTCCTTCTCCATCAGCTCCCATGGCATTTAGAGCTGAAGATCCTGGCCCTTTCCCCTTCCCAGCCTGCTCACAGACAAACAGGGTCTGTTCCTTTAGACCCAAGGAGATGCCAGAGTCTATCTGAATCACTCACACGTGTTTGTTTGTTCTTCATGCTTGTGTGTGGATGCCTCCCTGTGGAGGGATACTAGCAAAGGCTGAGCCCAAGACAATTCCCCACCTACAGCCTAAGTTCAAACTTGTCCTTCTGCTACCTCCTCTGAGGTACAGCCCTGTCTTTTGCTGGAAGTTAAAACAGTAGGTCAGAAACTGTTGTGCAAAACCACGAAGAGCCCCTTGGACCAAGAGGCTCTTCCCCTTTCCGACAGCACATGGTCTTCTAGCCAAAGAATTACCCAGTAATTCTTTACAGAGCTCATGCTGCAGATCCCATGACTAATCCCTCCTCACCACACGCCCACAAAGAGGGAAGAGACTCACATAAGATAGTGATCATCCTGTGATCTAACATGGAAATCCCTGACCCCTGGGATCTTCAGTCCCCCAACCTATCAACCTTGCAAGGCTCCAACAGGATTTAATGCCATTTGGAAGATGCAAAGTTGTTGAGAGCTACCATAAGTATTCCTTAAGGAGGTTATTAGGGACAGGTCAAAACCAAAATGCTTGTTCCACCTTGCAATGAGAAGCTCACAGCTAGAGCTGAATTTGTCCTTGGACCTCAGTATTGCCAGAATGTTTTGGGGCTCCCTGTTTCACAGCATTTATAGGTAAAATGCAAAACTCCATCAGAAGATGGGCTTGGCAAGGAGGCCCAGCTCCTCACACTGCCCCAGCTGATGTGCATGCTCTGAAGCCAACAGCCATCACTGTCCCTGCGCTGGCAATGTGTAGAACTTGAGGCTTTTCTCCCCACATGTGGCTCTCCAATGCCAAGGTGCAGCAACATCTCCTTTAAACGAGCAGCAACGGCAACAGGCTTCGAGCCATTCCTTGTGTTGGCCTGTTGCACTCTCTTGCCCTCTCTGCTCCCAGACAGGGCTCTCCTGCTTTGAAGGACTCAGAGGGCTTCACCCACCACCCAACAGAAGGGTAGCACAACAGGGGCAGGAAGGGACATGGACAGTGAGATCAGGTGATAGGGGAGACAACAAGTGCAGGTGCCCTCTGGCTCCTACGTATTAAAAAAGGGATATGAGACGTGAGACTGGGGTTTGTCCTCCAGAAGTTGCTGCCCTCAGTGCTGGTCTATCTGTTCACAGCTGTCTAGGGCCCCCAGGTCAGGCCTCCACCCCTTTGGCCATGACTGTCCCCTAAACTGCACCATCTCAGCCTGCTAACCATGAAGGGGCCTCAGGAAGAAACACAGGTTGTTTAAAAGGAAAATAAAGCTGAGAGCAGAGGGAGGGGAGAGAGGACAGGTGTCTGAGGCCTAAGGCCACTCACGAATTCAGAGAGGCTCCCACCCCATCTTATCTTCCTCAGGGAGAAGATTATGTTACTTATCTTCCTTCTCCCCTGACCAGCTCTGCCCACAGGGCCCCCCTCACCTTGCTCGTCGCGGTGGCTGTGGAGCCAGGCAGCACCGGCGTGTTGGTGACTTGGACATTCAGGTAGTTATTGTCTATGAGCGGCCAAGCCCCTTGCACCTTGCAGGTCTGGAAGCTGTCTGTGAAAGTCCTGAGGTGGGGGTCCCCAAAGAGCCCACAGTGAGTATAGTTCGGGGTGGCCGAGTGCTTGTGAAAGCTCTTCTCGTAGTGGCAGATTTCGGGGCTGTCGGAGCGCTCCTGGCTATCCCCAGGGGGTAACGTCCGGAGCCGGGGCTGGGAAGTGGGGCCATCCTTCGAGCAGTTGTGCTGCACCATGAGATCGTCTATGCCATGAACGGCGGAGTGGTAGGCCAGGTCGCCCCTGCACGTGCGGGCCGTGCTGCGGGTGCAGTGCGCGTAGGCGCGCAGCGCCGTGCAGAACTCGGGCACCTCCTCCGTGCCCGGGTGGTGAGAGCCAGAGGTGGCCGCCAGGTATTCAGAGTTGCACTTGAGGATGTTGCATGGAGACGTCACTGGGGGAAGGGAGAGCAGGAGGGAAGAGAAAACACAAGGTGATCAATACTCAGGTCCCCTCTCCTGGCTGGTATCCCCCTACACGTGGGGATCCAGCTTTAGGCTTAGCAAAAAGCTGCATCTTCTTCCTTCAACCCCAGCTCATGACACTGACCCAACCACGTGATGGGGGCTCAGTCACCGGACGTGATCCTCTCACATGACCCAACTCTCATGCATCAAAGCTGAAGTAATCAGCAAGATCTGCCTCACTTTAAGTCCAGCAGGGAAAGAACACCCAGTCTTTAGATGAACCCTCCCGAGGGAAAAGTAGGATGGGGAAGAATGGGATGTATTCATTAGCTGGGATAAGGTAGGGTCATTAGTGGTGGTGGTGGTGGGGGATGCAATGGGGTTTTTAATGCCTTCTGCAGGCTTGACATGCAAAATGTTACCCAAAAAAAAAAAAAAACCCTCAAAACAACAACAAAAACTCCCGTATGAATTACTGTGCACTGTGTTCAGACTGAATTCTACCACGGCAAAAATGTGTGCAGCCTCCCTTTCATCCAAGCAAGCACGAGGAAGCCCAGCCGGGCATTCCGTGATGCGCAGGGTCACGCTGCACATTCCAGCAGGCTCTGTGCCTCGCACAAGCACAGCCGAGAACTTTTCGCAGAGGTGCTGGAAAGCACCTCATCTGGTAGAGCTGATATCCCCAAGGCAGCCCTACACTGCCCCAGCAAATCCCAAAGAAGGTGCAACCCCCAGCTTGGTGACAAGGACTCCACGAGCTTCACCCATCTCTCCGATAGCTGTTTGTTCCCCCTTGTAGAAGCCCTTCTTCCCTCACTACGGTGGCTCGCGACACCTCTGCCCTGACCCACCTTGCACTGCGCCCCCAGCTCTGCACTTGGGACAGCAGCACAGAGATGCAGGTGTCAAATGGATGCATAGGCAAAGAAACCAGCCTCCTGCTCGGCTGCAGCGGTGACAGGTCCGTTGCAAGCCGGAGATGCCTGGATAAGCAAGGAGCCAGCCCCGGGCGCGCTGGGCCCTGCAAGGGCAAGACACTGCACCGGGCAGCCCTGCTGCTCCTGCAAGGGCTTAGCTGTCTCTTGCCAGCATAAATGCCAGACTGAAAGCGCAGGAGTGATACCATGAGCTTGGAAAAATACTGCTTTCTTACAGAGCCTGCTGGGCAGGGCAGGGGTTCTCCGGGGCTCCCCAGGGGCTACCGCACGGAAGGGTTTGCTGTCCCAGCCGGGAAGCTTTCACAAACCGCTTGTCCTGCTTAGGGCCCCAAGCATCTCCCCAGAGATGCACCCCCCTGCACCAGGCTGCATCCACAGTGCTCAAGGCCCGATCTGCGAAGATCTCGCTTCAGCTGCCGTGCACCTTGTCCGGCCCCAGGGGTGGGCGGACGACCTGCCCACGGAAAGTGCAGGGACCGGAGCCGCCCGCGGGAGCTGCCCGGCAGTGAGCGAGCGCCCCTGCCCTTCGCAGCGACCTTGCTCGGGAGAAGGGAGCCGGGAGCGGAGCCAGGTCCGCTTGGGCCGGGGACATCCCTTGCAGGGCCCGTGCTCACAGCCACCTTCCCCAGTGCGTGCTTGCAGAGCGTGGCCACCAGCTCCTCCGGGCCCTGCAGCATGCTGCAAGCTGGAGGAAGGCAAAGAAAATTTGGATACGTGCTTTTATTTTTTTTTCCCACCCCTCAATGTCTGTCCCCCAGGGCAGTGTGGCTTCTCTGGAGCAGACTTGAAAGCAGCTGTGTGAAAGCACATGGCCTTCACGGAGCACCGCGCAGCCGCTGCTCTGCTGCTGCCAGTTTGGAGCCCTGCTGGGTGAACCCGGGCTCACATCACTTAAAATTCATGGGGTTTTCCTTCCTGTCCTCTTAATCAACCCCCTCAGAGAGCTTGGGAACTGGTTGGGCTCAGACACCCAAACGTGACAACAGCAGCAAAAAGAGTCACCATTTCCAGATGCTCTGGTGGTGCCTCTCGCAGGCGGACACGTCTCATTCCTGTCTTGGGGTTTCTTTAGCAGGAGGCTGGCAATGCATTTGTGCCAAAATTATTTCAGATTTGTTTAAAAAGAAAGTTACAAACCCCAGTATTGTTTCAGAGACAACAGTGTGTTTTAGTTTTAAACATTCCCTTGTAGTGCTGGAAACTAAACATAGCCAGTGCTGGAAAATCAGGAAGGGGGAGCGAGACTATAAAACACTAAGCAGTTCTGCTTCAAGACACAGCCTGTCTCCACTCTTTCCAAAAGGAGTGAAGTGCAAATAGGAAACGGTGACAGGTTCTTCATGGTTTTAAATTTCATGTTTAATAAACGCAGATGCTAGCAACAGTGCAGAGAGCATAGGGCTTGTTTTGGCCTGGCAGTGTCCAAATTAAACCTGCAAGAAACTGTGGAAAGCCTTTGTGTTCTTCTTTAACTGGTCGTGAGCCAGAGGTAACTGGATAGCAGGTTTTGGCCCGGTACTTGGGCTCTTTGCTAGGCCTTCTACGTTTGCAAGTCAAGTTTGCAATGCTTATTATGCCGTCTGACTCCCTTTCCAGCCCCAGGAGAGTGTGTTTCTACCAAAGACGCGTTGCTCCACAGTGGGCTCCCACTGCAGGTGGCTGGTTTGCAGCGGCAGTGCCTCACGTCCCACTCTTCTACGTGAGCGATACCGAGGCGAGTGCCCTGTTACGGACCCACAGCAAAGCCACGTTCGCTGGGGTCAGCCCTCCTTGCTCGGGGAGGGCTATGCACGTTCAGAAGGAGCTGCCCCAATGTGCTCCAGCCGGAGCAGCGCCAGGACTTGGGTCGCATCCGCACGGGGCTATTGCACACCTGCCCCAGCACCGGTAACACCACCGTAGTGACAAGCCAAGCGCACTGCTGGTGCGGCGCACGCAGGGCTCGGCATGTGGCATCACCGGGGTGGAACACAAGGAAACGCCATCTCACACCCGCTCACGGCAAACTGCACAAGGACAACTCTGCCAAGTCCCCAAGACCCTCCTGCTGGGGGGAGGAAGCCAGGACAGGGGCAAAAGTCCCACGGCTGCCTCTACTGCTGCTGTGTCATACGACTGCGGGTTCAGGCAACGGGATCCTTGCTCGCTTAGTAGTTACACCTCAAACAAAGTTCAAGGGTGCTCCAAGGTTGCACGCCCTGACGGTTGTGTTGTAGGATTTGATATTTTTTAGGAGGAAAAAAACCATGTTGCTCCTTAGGGCAGGTTTCAGGTGCTTGGATCAGGAGATGAATGGCATGGGTCGGGGCAACATGTGCTCCAGATGGAGCGGGCTCCGTGTCCACCTGCTGTGGAGGAAGGTTCTCCCGCTGCCTCCGAGTGACAGCATTCCTGGTGAGACACCAAAGCACTGTGGAACAACCGTGGGCACGGGCAAGGGCACAGGGACACGGCGGCCTGGGAGCCCCGGGGCTGCATCACCCACCGCCAGCGCTCAACACCGAGCGCGGCCCATGCGGCCAGCGGCGAGCTCATGACTTTATAAGGTACTAACTTAAATTTAAAAAAAAAAGAAAAAGGGATGGCAGGAGAGCCCATCTCTTCCCTTCCCAGGCCTGAAGGGGGAGCGTTCTTCTTAAAGATGTTATCACGCCGCTTTTGGCACGCAGCCCCGTGCCGTTGTGCTCAGGGCCCCATATAAGGCCAGATTTCAAAAGCCAGGTGCCGGGGCGGCCGCACGCGCGGCGCCCGGGTGCGCGCGGGCACACGGGCATGTGCCCTTCCCGGCCGCTCGCCTCGCCTTTCCCCCGCTCCGACCCTTTCCGTAGGGTTTGGAAAAACGCCGTGCTCTGCGCTCGCAAGAGGTGCCGTCCCCTCCTGTCCTCTCCCTCACCACGGCCGTGTTTCTGCGCAGGGACCAACCCCGCGTGGGCCTCGCTGGTGCCGGCCGCACTGCTCGGTGCGGCGATTGTGCCCGACCGGGCTCGCGCCAGCCCCCGCGCGGCTCACGCGCCAGCCGGGTGGCCCCAATAGGAACCGGCCACGGCACAACGGCTCTGCCGGGCCGGAGGGCCGGGAATTGCGCGGATGGGCGGCAGCCAGGACCCTCTCCCCCTGCTCCTCGACTTCTCCTCTCGGCCCCGCTGGCAGCGGCTTCGGCGCCACAGCACACGCGCATCTGTACCCGCGCCAGGGGACGATGTTTATTCAATTTCACGTAATCTATTTTCCATCTCCTCACAATGGATCTGTTTTTCGAGCATGGATGACTTAGCACGGCAACAAAAACCTCTCACAGCCCAGGGCCAGCCTGTCCCCTGGGGAATGAGCCGGGGCCTGGGTGCCACCAGCACCCTTGTCCATAGGCAACAGCCCTTCGCCCCGGGGATACCCCACGATCTCTCACTGGCGGCTTCACTGCTACCTAGTCTAAGCACCCCCAGCCTCCTCGTCTTCACCTTCCTCCTTCAAGCAACCTTGGGTCCCAGCACAGCATGGACAGACCTAAGAGAAGGACACAGAGAGTCATGGTGTGTCGCAGCAGCTGCCCTGCACTGATTTCTGGAGACCAACAGTTTGGGAAAGCTTAAGACCAGAAGAAAAACATTAATTTTGCCGGGTCGATAGACCCTTAATGACCTGTGCTTGTTAAGTGTCTGTTCTAGCAGGACGGCTCACATTGGAAAGTCACCAACCACTTCCTCCAGGTTGGAGGGCTTATCGCCTGCACCAAACGTGGGCCTGCAATCTGACAGGGGTTTTATCTGACTCACTGCAAGGGCATAAAAAGAACCAGTGATTTTCTCCAAAGCAGTAAAAAAGTCCGTTAGTAACCAGTGTGTTTCCCTCAAAGATATTTACACACTGCAATCAAGTCACTTGTCAATCCTTTAGATAAGCTAAACGGTTTGCACTTTTAAGTCCTCACTGGAAGGTGTTTGCCCAGCCCTACAATCAATACTGCTGCCTTCCTGCCCCCACTTCAGGTTTTCAGCCTCCTTTGCAAAGCCCGGGCAGCACTGGTCGCCCTGCTCGCTGCCAACCTG